TCAAACTTCATTCTTCTTCAATGTGGCATGAATTGAAACATCTTTTGATAATTTTGACAACATTTTCTTCACATCTTCATTGAAGTATATTGTATGATTGATGTCTTTTGGTTCATATCAAAACCTATAAGCCGTCAGGTCACCGAAATGGAAGCCCCAACAGGCCAAACGGAGGTAACGAAAGACCAAGCGGGTGGACAGATAGACCTCCTCAGAACAACCAAGCGGAGACATCTCGAGGACCTTACCCTCAAAGGAACCACCCGATGACACCTTTACAATGCATATTGTGTAAAGGCCCCCACAAAGTGTCTTACTGTCCTCATTGGGCCTCTCTCACTGCACTCCAAGTGTCCATTCAAGAGAGCATCGACACAAGAGTCGAGACTATGCTAGACAAGAAGGAAGATCAAGACAACCCCCCAATGGGCGCGCTCAAATTCTTGTCAGCCCTCCAACGGAAGGTCGACCCGAAAGAGATAATAGAGAAAGGGCTCATGTTTGTGGATGCAACAATAAACTCTCGACCGAGCAAGAGCACTTTGATAAACTCAGGAGCGACTCACAACTTCATCGCCAAACAAGTAGCCCGAAGATTGGGACTCACCATAGGAAAAGACCCTGGAAAAATGAAAGTTGTCAACTCCGAGGCCTTGCCTATTGTGGGAGTTTCCAAAAGAGTCCCCTTCAAATTAGGGGCTTGGACAGGAGAGCTGGACCTGGTCGTAATTCGCATAGACGACTTTGACGTGGTACTTGGGATGGAATTCCTCCTATAACACAAAGTTATCTCAATGCCACTGGTGAAATGTCTGGTGATCACCGACCGCAATCACACAGTAATACCTGCAAGCATCAAGCATCCAGGTAATCTTAGAATGATCTCAGCCATACAATTGAAAAGAGAACTCGCACGAGAGGAACCTACGTTTATGGCTATACCACTTATGGAAGAAGTGACCACTGAGGAAACTATCACAGACGAAATCAAGGAGGTATTAAACAGTTATGCTGACATATTGCTAGAGAGCCTACCACAAACATTACCACCCCGTCGAGGCATTGATCACGAAATGGAACTCCTTCCCGGGGTTAAAACCCCCAGCGAAGAACGCATACCGGATGGCTCCCCCTGAGCTAGCTGAATTGAGAAAACAACTAGATGAGTTGTTGACAGCAGAATTCATCTCCCCGGTAAAAGCAACTTACGGAGCCCCCGTATTATTTCAGAAAAAGAAGGATGAGACGTTGCATCTGTGCATAGATTATAGGGCCTTAAACAAGGTGACGGTACGCAACAAATACCCACTGTCGATAATATCCGACTTGTTCGACCAACTTCATGGGCCCAAATACTTCACAAAGTTGGACTTACGATCAAGGTACTACCAAGTACGTATCGCCGAGGGGGACGAGTCCAAGACGACGTGTGTGACAAGATATGGGGCCTTCGAGTTCCTGGTAATGCCCTTTGGCTTGACAATCGCCCCAGCTACGTTTTGCACGTTAATGAACACAACCCTAGAGGAACACAAGGTGCACTTGAAGCTGATATTTGACAAGCTGCAACAGAACCAGTCGTACATCAAGAAAGAAAAATGTGTCTTCGCACAAACATGCATCAACTTCCTCAGACATGTCATCAGTTGTGGACAGATTGGGATGGATAGCGATAAGATAAAAGCTATCCAGGAGTGGAAAGTCCCTACTTCCGTATCCGATGTGCGGTCCTTCTTAGGATTAGCAAACTACTATAGGTGATTCATCGAAGGGTTTTCACGACAAGTTGCCGCCTTAATGGAGCTCTTGAAGAAAGACCACCCTTGGTCGTGATCAAATAAATGTCAAATGACCTTTGAAGATCTGAGGGCAACCATGACGAGGGGTCCTGTCCTCGGGTTAGTAGATGTTACAAAGCCATTTGAAATAGAAACAGATGCTTCCGACTTTGCCCTAGGCGGTGTCCTTATTCAAGAAGGTCACCCCATTGCTTACGAAAGTCGAAAGCTCAATGATGCTGAACGGAGATACACTGTTTCCGAAAAAGAAATGTTGGCTGTAGTCCATTGCCTACGAGTCTGGAGACAGTATCTCTTAGGATCACAGTTCATAGTGAAGACGGATAACAGTGCCTTCTGCCACTTCTTCAATCAACCAAAATTGACGGCAAAACAAGCCCGGTGGCAAGAGTCGTTGGCGAAATTCGACTTCAAATTCGAACACAAGGCAGGGAAGAGTAATCAAGCAGCCGATGCACTGAGTCGGAAGGGCGAACATGCGGCCCTGTGCATGTTAGCCCATGTTCATTCAAGTAAGATCGATGGATCGATGCGCGACATCATCAAAGAACATTTACACAAAGACCCATCGGCCAAAGCCGCCGTCGAACTAGCTAAAGCCGAGAAGACACGACAGTTTTGGGTCTAGGGAGACCTTCTAATGACTAAAGGAAGCAGATTATACGTCCCAAGAACGGGAGAACTGAGAAAGAAGCTCATTCAGGAATGTCATGATACCTTATGGGCCAGACACCCTGGGTGGCAAAGAACATATGCCCTAATAAAAAATGGATACTTTTGGCCGAATATGCGGGACGACATCATGCAGTACACCAAGATGTGCCTCATCTGCCAATAAGACAAAGTAGAGAAAGCCAAAGTCTCGGGACTCTTGGACCCTCTACCTGTGCCAACAAGACCTTGGGAAAATGTATCTCTGGACTTCATAACACACCTCCCAAAAGTCGGGGAATATGACGCCATCTTGGTTATCGTAGACCGGTTCTCAAAATATGCGACGTTCGTCCCCACTCCCAAATTATGCTCGGCTGAACTAACAGCCCAACTATTTTTCAAACATGTTAAGTTATGGGGCATTCCGTCGAGCATCATCAGTGATAGGGATGGTAGATTCATTGGCACATTCTGGATCGAATTATTTGTCTTCTTGGGAATGACTTTAAACATCTCCTCGAGCTATCACCCTCAAACCGATGGACAGACAGAACGGTTCAACTGCTTGCTCGAAAAATACTTACGTCACTTCGTCGACGCTCGCTAGAAGAACTGGATACAACTACTAGATGTCGCTCAATTCTGTTTCAATTGTCAAACGAGCTCATCTACGGGGAAGAGTCCCTTTGAAATTGTAAGTGGATGACAACCGGCCTTGCCTCATATTATCGATCATCCTTATGCAGGAAAAAATCCTCAAGCTCAAAACTTCACAAGAGAATGGAAGCAGACAACAGATATAGCTCGGGCATATTTAGAGAAAGCTTCCAAGCATATGAAGAAGTGGGTGGACAAGAAGCGTCGCCCCCTCCAATTCCTGAGACTAGAACAAATTAGATTTCGCAGTCGAAAGAACAGAGACTAGTTCGAAAATATGAAGGCCCAGTTGAAGTCCTTAAAAAGATCGGAGCTACCTCCTATAGAGTTGCGCTACTCACATAGATGAAAATCCACCTAGTAATTCAAGTGAGCAACTTGAAGCCCTATCACCCTAACCTAGACGACGACCAACGAAATGTAATCACGAGACCGAGCATCAATTTGAAACAAAGAGACAGCAAAGAGATAGAGGCGATCCTAGTCGACAGAGTTAGGAAGATAGGAAAACCTGTACGGACGATTCGCGGATTCCTTGTCAAATGGAAGAATCTCTCTACAGAGGAAACCAACTAGGAACGCGCCGAAGATTTGGACTCCGCCGCCACCCACATCGCCAGGTTTGAAAGTAGTCAGTTGACAGGGACGTCAACCAATTAGGTGGGGGAGGATGTTACGATCATGCTCGTCCAAGGCATGTTGCCCATGGTCGCATGCCCATGACAAACCCAACCCTTCATGTCTTTTCATATTCTAGTGTTTTACTTTTATGTTTCTATGAAGTATGACGTTTCAGAAATATCATATCTAGACATGTCAGACATGAAATGCCTCAGAATGTACTATAGAGGGATACGACTAGTTGTCAACTTCTCCCTACCCAAGGTTATATACTGTAAGTCGTTGTTATTTCTCTCTTGCTTGCTTATATAACGTCTCTTTCAAAAATCTCTCTTTCGAAAATCTCTTTCTGCCCTCATTTTCTCTGACTTTCTCTTAAAACCGAGGCCAGAGGCTCAAGCATACGTCGCTTGGCCGTAGGCGACGCAAGAACGAATTGGCTTAGCTCACTTGTCGTTAGAAAGTGAGTGTCGCACAATCGCAAGTCCGCTGCCATTAAAAGTACGATTGTGACACCTGGCACACCGACTGGTGACTAGCTCGGATATTATTTGTAACAGCTCAAGTCCATTGGTAGCAGATATTGTCTTCTTTTAGCTTTCTCTTCCCAGCTTTCCTTCAAGATAAAAAAAAAAAAAATTAAACAACGGATAGTTCTCATAAGCAACGGATAGTAAAATCATTACCAACAGCAATTCATCAAGAATTAAACAACCTGAGAGCATTGTTGACAGTTTGCTTGATCTCTTGGAAATGTTCTGTTCATAGAGGTTGAAATCTCCAAACACTTCTTCCATTCTAAATAGACAATCATCTCCTTTGCATCTGAGTCAGTCCCCTGCTTCTCCTGGCTGCCATTAGAGGGGTAGAAACCTCCTGCCTGCGAGACAATGAAATCAAATGGTGAGAAGAAAAAAAAAAACCCACCGGCCATTTAAGAGCAGAAGGAAGCTGAAGAATAAACCTATACTCAGTGTCCTTGCAGAGGTTTCTCTAAACAAAACAATAAACATTCAGCTTTAGATCAAGCTGATTGAGTAAACCTATGCTCAGTGACAGCAGAGATTTCTCTAAACAAAACAACCAAAAATCTGCTCTAAATCTGTTTCTATCCCTATGGATTATTCTACTATGATCAATAGTCCCAAACAAGTCTTAAAGAAAAGATCAAGAATCAGAGTTCATAAATAACTAAACAAGTTGGTGAGTCAATGATCTCAACTCTACAGGCTTTCTTCTTGTCATTTTCTAGCCAGACAACCAAAAAAATGTTGAAATTTAAGCCATAAGAACAAACAAGGAACAGAGATGACTTATTGTTGGCTCTTTTCTTTATCAGAATGATTACAAATTGTAGAAATATAATAATATTACAATCTCTCTGCACTGGAAACCCCCACAACCATCTTTGATGGTTGCACAGAGATTACATGCGAAAGGAAATAAGTCAGAGCAATGATCAATGGAATAGTTGAAAATTGCGGTAACATTTATCTTTCTAGAATTCAAATGGAGAGAAATTTACCCATAAAAATGAAATAACTCAAATAGGAGAAATCAATAATTACAGAAGAGGCTTAATCTCAGACGACTTCAATCCGTTTGGATTGGGAGAATAGGGAAGAACTTTCCTCCTTCCTCTCGCGAAGGATAAATGTCAGGAACCAAACAAAGATTCTCGAAGTTTTAACGAATCCGATTGCGATAATGAGGTAATAGAGAGCCCAACCGGCGAAATCCACCATAGTTAGGTCGATAAGAAGCTCCATCTTGCTTTCCGCAGCAATCGCCGGAGATTCGGCTTCATCTCTCAACCTCCACCACCATAATCCCCCAAAGCTCACCGCCATGGCGATTCTTTCACTCCAACTCTCCTCCACAGGCGTTCCGAAAACGGTATCGTCCACCACCGGCTTCACCGCCGCCTTCGACCAATGAATCATCGCCGTATGCAACCCCAAGAAAAACATCAACCGGCACCACAAATTTCTCCGCAATCCTATGCTCGAAGCGTCGATAGCAATCGCCAATCCCTCGTCCATTCCCAACGCCATACCGACCTGTAACGCACATAGACCGATCCAAGCCGCGCTCAGGCCAGACGGTCTCGCCGGAAGAATCGATTTACCAAGCAAGTTATCGAGAAAAGTGGCTATGGCGATGAGAGAAATCAGAACCAAGAGAAGAACTCGGTCAGCATATGCAACGAAAGAAGAAGGAAGAGGCGTTGACGGAGAAAGAAAATCCTGTAGATACTGAGAACGAGCAAGCCTGCAAAAGAGAAGAAATGAAAGTGGAAGCGAGAGGCTGAGGAGAGTGACTGTGAGAAGATGCAAGAATTTCTTGAAGATGAGATTGACGTTTCGCGGCCATTCTTGGGACGCCATAGCCATAGCTCGGAAGTTGCAGAATGAAGTGAAGAATCTGAGAATGTAAATAAGGAGAAGGAAGAAGGTAAACGTTGAGTGGCGGCCACGTCCAGAATTTCGAATGGGTTGGCAATTGGCAATAGCGTATAATATAATATAAGTTGTATTTATATTAATATTTTATGCTTTGATTAATTATTAACTTTAATTCTCGTTTTTTTATCAATTAATTCGAGTGTAGACTAAAGCAGTAGTTTAATGAACTAACCGCACGATGCACTATGTCACAACTGCACTCTTATAGTAGCGGAACAACGATTGTGCGACACTTGTTATAACCTAGCGAACAACTTAATTGTATAGAAATGGTTTTGGTGAACAGTCATGCACACAGTATTGACATGATAAACATCTAACCATACATGAAATTAAAAGGGTTTTGGAACAGGTATGTGTTAAATGGACAACACGTCACGAATGAGCATGATCAGGACATATAGCACGCTACCACAGACAACACACTTTTGATAGACATGACCGTGACACACCGTGATTAAGAGCGTCTATATACCAACGGAAGATTAACCTTTTTCAAGTTGAATGTTTGAGGTATATTTTCACGTATATTGAACAAAAAAAAAAAAAAACACAACCAATCAATCTCGAACGTGTAAGTTTATTCTATTTTGACATTTTTTAATCAAATTCGGTGTGGATAAAACATATTCGGTGTTAATTTAAGTACAACGTTAGTGGTTTTTCTTAAAAGACACTCAATCAAATATTGTGAAAATTTTATAAATATCATCTCAAGCTCGTTGTTTAATTTTAAAAAATATTGTTTTTATTTTTAACAAATTATTGTACTGTTCGTATATAAATGACAGACATTATTTAATACACGTTTTGAAATGTTACGTAACAACAGCAACATCGACACTATTTAGATATTAAAAAAAATAACAAAATTGGTGTAAATAAATTAAATAAAATTGACTTAGATGTCATATAAGATATTCGAGATGATCATATTCCATAGATAATTAATTTAAAAATTGCATGCATGAGAGTTTTGGTAGCGTATAAATGGTATTAAAATAAGGTCAAAGGCTGTCCCCATTATCTAATTAATCCAAACTCGTCATGTCTTAGCAAATACTTAAATTTATCATAATTAAATTATTTTTAAATTTCTTACAATTATTCCTCGCATTTCTTTATGGAATAACTACTAAGTGGTTACTTTTATTATTATTATTATTATTATTAATTTTATTTATTTTGTTAAGATAATGTGGTTAGCTGTCCTTAGTTTAAGTGCAAATATTAATTAATGTTTTAATTATCATAGCCGTACTTCTGAAGCAATCAAATATATTTTTGTAATATTATTCCCAATATAGTTTGTTACCCATAATATATATATATATATATATATTAAAATTAAGTTTATAAAGGTTATAAGCTTGATTTATTATTTTTGTTTGGTTAAGAAAGATTAAATTAAAAGAAAATACCTTATTTGATAATCATTTTATTTTTTATTTTGAAAATCAAGCTTATAAATGAGATTAAAACTAATAATAATAATAGAATTTAACTAAAAAGAAAAAAGAAAGTAGAATAATGAAAAGGACTGAATAGATTCTTGCTATGAACAGACAGCAATGGATAAAGTAGAACTAAAACAAGTAAGCTAATTTACTTGGCTGGAAAGTCGGGCCATCGGGATTCAATTTTCTCATCTCATTTCACCTTCCATTGGAGACTCCGATTTTAATTTGGACTTCCCTAAAAGACCTCATATCAATAGAGAGAGTATTCTTTGATTATAAACCTATGATCATTCCCTAAATTAGTCGATGTGGGACTTTCATCATCTAACATTTCTTACCCCAAGTCGTCGAAGGATTGGCAGTCAGCTACTTGTAATCAAGTCAACGAGCATCGGTTTCTTTCGCTACAATGTTGTTCAATCCTTCGATGTATATCGTTATTTCAAGAAGGGAACTGTTTGTTTCCATCTCCTTTACCAATCCATAAGCCAGATAAAAAGAAGAACAGAGAGACCCAGCTGCGATAAAACGACCAAAGCTCGACCCAACTGATCTGTTCAACCCTGTTTGTTTGCAGGAAGTTCAAATCTCAGCACCAATTTGACTAACTTTCAACATCAGGTTGCTGGGCCATTTCCCATCAGACCTTGTCCCTACACCTTAACAAGCCTACAAGCGTGGAATATTGCAAGCAGTTCTACCAAGATTAAGCCCTTTTCAGATCCAACAGTTTCCAGTCTCAATCAGAATCCTTATCCACAATGTTTCCAATCACAGTTCAACACTTGAACAACCCTTAAAAAGAACTGAAATCGGGTATACGTACACGTAATGCTGTCATTCAGCCTTCAAAAAGTGTTGGATCAACCCTTCCAAGGGCTACCTCAACCACATTTGTAACAGCCCAAACTCTCGCTAGCATACATTACCCTCTTTGAGCTTTCCGTTTCTCCTCAAGATTTTAAAACGTATTTGCTAGAGAGAGATTTCCATCCCTTATAAGGAATGTTTCGAATGGGAATTCTCACAACATTATACAAAACTTCAACTCAAAAACTCGCATTGAAACATTATTGCAGAGGTTTGGACACAGCCAATCTTTCTCCCCGTATGGTATAGTAGTAATCAAACATTCAAGTCCTTAAAAATAATAGTTCCATGTCTAGCATATTGATTGGTATAACACTGTAGAAGCACTTTGGATGGTACTTAGAAGTTAAAGAGTAACAATATCATCCGGTAGAGTTTCCCAATATGCATCAGCCATTCAAAAGCGCATCAAATTCCAATTATGAAACAAAATCACATAACTAATCACCAATTATATCTCGAAATCTAGATCTAAATCACAACTATTGAGACCAGAAAACCCTAAATTCATTCTACCAAATCCATACTCGAAGATAGCGAAATTCCAGATTCAAATCTCTCGAGGCAAATTGATCAACATTTGTTCTTGAACATCAAATGATGAAGAGGAGTATGGCAAAGGAAGTGAAATTTGACGATGAGAACAATGAAAACTACTATTAAGAGTAGGCAGAAGCATACGAGACAAGGGCAGAGAGCTACGACTAGGAAAGCGCATTTGTCCTCCTCAACTTCGTTCGTCGCATCCCATCGGTTTTCGTCTCCGACGGATAGAGATAGAGAAGATTTTGGCGGTGGAGCAGCCGCCATGGAAGAATCTTGTTGAGCAGCTCCCTCTGGTTTTCTGTGGGCTGGAAAGCTATATCAAAAAGTTCCCAAATTTTTAGTGCAAATGAGACATGGTGCAATCTCGGTTGGGGTAGAACAAACCGCCATTTACAAAAGTGTGGAAATCTTTTCCAGTTTTAAAACTTTGGGGGAAAATCCGAAATTGAAAGCCCAAAAGGATAATATCTACTAGCAGTGGATCTAGGTCGTCACAAATGGTATTAGAACTTGACATCGGACGATGTGCCAATCTTCTCGCTCTTCCCCGAAGGGGGTAGACACTAAGCGGTATGTCAATAAGAACGTTGGGCCTCAGAGGGGGAGGATTTGGGGTGGTCCCATATCGATTGGAGGAAGGAAAGAGTACCCACATCAGAAAGAGTGATAGCGAATACGCTGGCCCTAAAGGGGGTGAATTGTGATGTAGCACATTGGTTGGGAGGAGAACAAACCACCATTTTATAAGGGTGTGGAAACCTTCCCTAGCCGACGCGTTTTAAAGGCTTGAGGGCAAACTCGAAAAGAAAAACCTAAAGAGGACAATGTATGCTAACGGTGGATCTAGGTCGTCACACATGTGGTAATTGAAAAGGGAGCAGGTAACTAACTAAAGCCGACAATATCTTTTAGTGGTAGACATGGACTCTCTATGTTTTGTCATGCTGCATGCGATATCACATGACATAGAATCACTCCAAACAAAACATGCTTACTTATGATGTTCGTATGAACTAGCCACGACAAATGAAGTTGCATCTCGTTGATATATATAATAAAGCTTTTCTTAATCATCATATCCATGCAATTACTCTCATTTAAATGTACTATAGATTTATTCGTGTACTTCTCATTTATTCAGATGTCACGTAAAATCATATAATTACATATATTTGGGCCAAACATTCGAGCTCTTAACCTTTCGATTAAAGGTTAATAATTATTGCTATTTTTAAGTTTCAAATCGATGCGAGCTTGTCGTGGAATTAGTAGATTGGATAACATAGAAAGTTCAACATTCGTAACACTTGGAATAAATTTTTGTTATAGTCTAAATTTAATTCATATTATAAATCCATTTGCACATTTTATGAAATATAAATACATTTTATTTTATATCGAAATTAGCTGAATTATTTGTGTAATTAGTTGCCTAATATAATAAAAATTAATAATTAAATTGTTTGCCAATTAGTAAAATGTATTTTTGCAGCAAAAAAGCAGGGGAGAATAAAAACACAAAAAAGAATATATATTTAATTAAACAATCAGGATTGAAGGAAATTCCGTACATGTAATATCGGGTTCCGAGATTTCCCGCCAAACAACGCCGCCGTCCTCGTTTCTCGGACATTTTTCCCGGCAATTTTCACGGCCATTTTCCCGCCATTCACTTTCTCTCTCACTCTATACCTCGAAGTTCTTTCATCTTCTTCAATCTCGTACGCCGTTTTCTCTCTCTATCTCTCTACCCTTCGTCGCCACGACACTCATCAAAGAAGCAAATGTCATCATCTCGTCGAACCAGCAATGGCCGATCGCCATTGGTAAACCAACAACGTCAAATCACTTCCTTCTTTACCAAAAAATCCACCGGAGAGAACTCTACCGATAAAACTAACCGTGATTCACATTTCAATTCGAGTCCGACTTTAAACCCTAGCCCTAGCACTAATTCTCCTTCTTCTGTACAGTCTAAGCGCAAGAAGACCCCGTTGGTCATCGGCGGCGCTGCATCTTCTTCTCCCGGTCCTTCTCCTATAGCTCATTTCAAGGAGAATTCGTACGGGGATGGGGTTGTTGGGAAGAGAATAAAGGTTTATTGGCCGTTGGATAAGAGCTGGTACGAGGGTCGTGTGAAAATGTTCGATGAGAAGGATGGGAAGCAT